TTATTTATGTATATCTCATGTCCCATTTGGAAAGAAAGAAGTGTTTAATTTTGATTTTTTAATTCATATAGGTATTTATTGGCTAAATTATGCTAAATCTAGTAATAAATATGGTACCTGATATTTTCAAAGAGTAATAAAATCAAAACTAGACGGTAAACGTATTTCATATTTTACAAGATCAACCAATATACTTCTTTTAAAATTTTGGGAAACTTTTGAAAACAGGCACTCCATTGGGGAAATTTAAATTTTTTTTTAAATAAGGCTCCCTAAGTAGGAAAATGGTCAGACACGTGGTAAAAATGGGTGGGGTAGGGTAACATTTTTATACAGATTTCATAAATTTTAAGTAGAAACCATAATTTTGCATATGTGGATTGTTAGGTGAATGGTACTATTTGTTTCTTACCAAAAATTTATGGGAAAACATTTTTCATTAGAATGTTATGGCAGATTATTTAAAGGTTCCTCATTTCTAAAAAAAGGCCCTCATAACATCCTAGCTTGAGTTCAGAAAAATGGCCATAACTTGATTTCCGTACGGTAAACTTTGTTTAAATTTTGCATACAGGTGTACTTTAAGGTATATATCTGACCTATGATGTCAATTTTTTAGTTCCTTAAAGTGCCCATTAGGGTGGTAATACCTTAAGTCTATATGCAAGCTTCTTTCCCCCCACCCATACAAAAGAAGTCAAATTTAATACTGCTACAATGTCTTATAAAATTACATTTCTAGACAATAATTAAACATTTAACAATATTGACTTAAGACATAATCATTAATAAATGCAGTCAATCAAATAATAAGCTGGGAATATTTATTAGTATCACAGAGTGAGAAAACAATGCAGCCTGACTGAGACTCAAAACAAAGACCCTCAGAATACGATGCCTCATCAGCACTACCGTATGAACCCAGAATCCTTTGAATACCATACCACAGCTCTATCGCTTAAACATTTTTCTCAAAATATGTGATCTTCGCTATACATTAACGTCATCCCCCACCTTATTGAAATATCTCCTTAAATCATTGACAAACTGACATAGTGAAATGTCTTCAAGTTATATTCAGTTATGTCCCCATGTTGGTTCCCAAACTAAATTGTGCAAACTTATTTTATAATGTCAATATGAATTTGCACAAATTTGATTAGAAAAATATCTTTTTAACTAAAACACGCTCAAAACCAACATTTTATAACCACTTTTTGTGTTAAGGCTGAGCGTATTACTTTTCATGATTTAAACACTTATTAGATAACAAAATACGCTTAAACATGCCGTAATTAAGCACAAGAAACACACTGTCAGTAACAAAAGTTATCATAAGAACTCCAAGACATATTTTGACATTTGAAAAATCTGCTATAAATTTATTAGCCTGGGCTTTATGTTTGCAACTTTCCACTATAATTAGGTAATTAAGTATAGCAACGAAGAAGATCACAAATGTAAAGGTCAATATGTACGAATGAGCAAGTAATTTGGGAATTTTACTCAGAACAACCAGATTTTTAAAAAACAGGCGATGAAAAATGGACTTAAAGGTTTTTCTGAAACATAATACAATATGTAGGGCAAGCTTTATTATCAAGGTTTAATTTCGCACCTCAAAAAAATGACCATTTTTCACATGAGTTCTTCAAGTATATAGAAAAGTTTTTTACAGAAATCCGTAACATTTTCCAGGAACTCCGTGACAGTTATCATAAGAACTCCAAACATGTTATCATAAGAACTCCATCATTCGTGAAACACTTCCTCCCCCGAGAGACAAGATGTACGACAAGTACACCTGAACCTCACTTTTTAAAGATGAAAACTACTATTTTTGACGAGTGTTTTGTAGTATATACAAACGTTTTCCGACGAACTCCGTGACAGTTATCATAAGAGGTCCTGACAAGTTATCATAAGAACACCATTCTCCGCCCAGGGAATCTTGAACTTAGCTTTTTGTCAATTTAAAATGTTAAATATTAGCCGGTGTTGCTAGGAATTTTATATTTATTTATTTAAACCTGGTCAGTCAGTTAAGATATTATTATAAAGATCTTCAGGACTTTGAAATTATTAAAATTTGGGGTTTTGGGGGTTTAAAATATCATTTATGCTAAATCCAAACCATGATGCTTAAAAACTGGACACAAATCTTAAATTTTAATAGAAAAAAAAATCAAATCCAGGTGACAAGAGTCATATTTTACCAAGCACTGGGGTATTCCGGGTCATGACTCTGAATATTAATGGTTTTAATTTGACTACTATGTTATAGGTTTAAAAAATCTGGAAACAAAGTGATCATCAAGCCCAGTCTAAGCTGGCTTAAGGCCTCAACAGAGGTAGGATTTAGTTGTACAATGTAATTTAAAGATATGATGTAAACTTTTCAAAGCAATACAACACTTGCATACAGACCTTAAATCTATATTGTATGAATCACCAGGTTTCCCTCCAAAACAATTCCCTCCAAATGGATCCCTTTACAGAATTTATTCACTTTTATTATTTTAATAGGTATAAAGGTTAAATAATTGTTGGTATTGACCAATTAAGAATATTGATTAAGAAGTAGGCCGTGGATAGCATGGGAATTACCATGTTCTGGAATGAATAACAAAACTGAGCACCCTAAGACTTCTCACAGTGATTTTTGTTCTACATGAGTAATGATGGAAACTCCTCCATCATTTTAAAAAAAAATCTATAATCATTTCTTGAATAACTTTGGATACGAACATGCCACAACTTAGGGCTCCCTTAGAGTTTTTCAGCATACTTTTTAATCCATCTTGCAACTTTTTTAACATTTTTATTTAAATTATTCTGGAATTTCATTCATTAACGACATTTAGGAAATATGTCACCTGTCATCATGGGAGGTCTGTACAACTAGAATTAAGAGATGCCTGTCCTATCTTGTAAACCTAATATTAAGTTGTACGAATTCAAGAAATAAAGGCATACACACATTAAGATTTGCTTGTACATTTAAGTTTAAATTGCAGATGTACTTCAAAATCCTACTGTCTGTTGAGGCTTTTATATTTTTTTAGAGTATTGGGAATAATGTAAAGGGTGGCTTAGCTTACATGTCTAACTTTGGAGCAGCTTAACTCAATGATTTTATTTATGTCTTTTTTATGTGATTGAGGGACACTGGTTTCAACATCCAGTACTCGGGCAGAGACAATATCTCTACAGACTTCTTATAGAGAACGTGTATGCTTGCACTTGAATAAATTTGTGTACTAAATTGTATGGTGGCTGAGTTGGTAATGGTTGGATATTTCGAACAATGGACATTTCCTACCAGGCAAATCGAACCAGATTTTAGGACACGTCAGGACAGAAGTCGAGACATTTCGGACAAGATATTTGGACACTACGGACCATACATTGGACACTTCGGATCAAACTGTCAATTGGACCTTTGTATGGGATGTATTGGATCAGATCAAAATATCAACTTTTGTTTTATACATGTATATCGTTTATTTTTACAAAGGCATGGAAAAAGGTGCCATTTGGGCAAGGCTAAAATATGAAAAAACACTTCTTTCTCGTGTTTTCAAGTTTTCGCCTCTTGCCTAGCCAAGCAAAAGTACGACATGGCACAAATCAGCCACCATAGAATTTTCTTACCTAGAAAAAAAGCTAGCTATTTTTATTTGTACAACAAAATCAATGTATAAGTACAATTTTCACTTTAAATGTATAACTAATGGAACTCTCAATAAATGTCTTGTCCCATTTTGGAAAAAAAACACAACATAATTATGGTATTATATTGCAATTGTAATTTTTGTCAAAAAATGTGTGTGTGTGGGTGTGCGTGTGTGTATGTGTGTGTGTGTTGTTTTTTTCAATTCGTGTCAATTATGGATTAATTTACCTGTTATTTAAAACTATCTAACAGTATCTGTCACGATTAAGATGTGTTCACTATGAGGCACATAAAATGTGTAAGTGGCCGGACAGCTCAGTCGGTAGAGCCGCGGTACGTATTTAGAGGGTCACGTGTTTGAGTCCCAATGCCTCATATATAGCTCAGAGTTTAATTCACGTTGATTTGTAAGCCTGAAAAAATTTGAGGACAAATGTGCATATATAGTAGAAAAGTATTTTACGGTTTTAGTACTGTTCAGTATTTAGGGGAGATACTGATACAGTGTAAGCGGCCGAATAGCATAGTGGGAAGAGCCGCGGAGTAGTATTCCAACTGTCAGGGGTTCGCGTCCCTGCCAGGCCTTTATACATATCAATACCAGTCTGTCAATTTGACAAAAAATGAGAAATGGGAAGGAACTGGAATAGGATAAATGAACTGGTAAAAAGGTGTGGGTATAGTCTGAATACAATCATATACTGTATACTGTAATGTCTGACGAAGCTGATATCGGATATATTGGTACGCATATGAATACATGTTTGCTGAATATAAAAAATGTTGCAATTAAAGAGTAATTAAATCCTTAGCGTATGTGAAATAGGATTAAAGCTAATCTTCGGCGTAAAGCACGTTGAAATCTGGTATTCACCATGAGGTCACAAACTATGATGTAAATAAATATCAGAGCATTAACATTTCTATTCTTCGAAAGAGACACTGAATATCTCTTACATATTTAGGAAACCGAATTTTACAAAATAGATCTATCTAAGATTTTCGTTTTCAATAGTAAGAGACTCAAAACACGGTACTTAAACATTAAGACGAACGCAGACGCATGCTAAACGTTTCTGGGCATAACAAGCACATGCTTTCAAACGCACGATAAACAAAACACGAAAAGGGATAAACGTTAAACGCTTGTAAACGATTCCCGCTTGAGAAAGCGTTTTATCAAGCGCACGTTGCACGTTTTACGCACGCTCGATATACGTAAAACACACGCACGATACACACTGTTTTAGGCAACTTAAACGTTCATCCTTCTGTATCATATATCATGGAAAACAAATGGTATCATGTGATGTTTATCACTTACTTTGTTTAGACTCAATATATTGCTCTTCCTGCTCGTTTTTACTTGCTGTCTTCATAGCTTTTTGTAATTTCTCTCCTAATTCAGCCATGTCTGACCGTTCTTTATCTCCTTGTGTATGAATTTTATCAACTTCCTTGTCCCGTTCTTCATTCAGTCTTTTTACAGAAGCATCAGTTTCATGTTGTATCTGTGAAACTCCCTCTGCAGTTTCTGACGCAAGATATAGAATATCATCTTGTTTTCTTTTGATCATATCTAGTTTAATTCTGTCATATTGATCATCTAAACCAGCCTTTATCTTGTCCAGTACTGTTTTGGCCACATCGTCTAGTACTTTTCTTACATCATCTTTGCCAATGACTAGAGTGTCATTTTCTAGCTGTAATAATAAATACCACAATAAGACGGGCATATTCTTAATCAGAGGCAACGCAGCGCGATTATAAATTAGCCAAGCCTGTGAAAAACGATTAGTAGTATCCTTTAAAATATTCACCATGGACTTTGCATAAAGAATTCATTCCGAAAAAAACTTGAACTGTTCTTGGGGTATACTTAACTGGCAGAGACCGCTTCCGACGGCACTATGGGTTTCGAACCGGCGACAGCGAAGGCAATATTTGATGTATGGTTTTAACCAAGTCACATGGAGAGAGGTCAGGACTATAAGAGGGATGTAGGAACGTAAATTCTCTGCTCCTCTAAATAAGCTTGAACCGGTGCGCAGGTGCCTATCAAGGGGTTATTTGATCCTGCACACCCTGGGCCTTGGGTTCTGCGGAATGCAGTGATTACATACAGCAGTGAGAATATGGTAACGGTAAAATGTTCAAGTGACATTATCCCTTTCAGGCATAGCGCCATGCGCCACTATTCCATCACTGACAGAAAGAGCGAATTTAACTCTATTAGCGCTCTTGCTTCGTCGTACTACAAATGTTTTATTGTCAGGCTACAATAAATACACCACGTTTCGTTGAAAGTGACAATTTCTCTTAGTAGTTTATGGTCTCAATCTTTGAACCTAGTCAATAAGGCCGACCCATTGTTACCCCGCTCCCTCTTCTGGTCAGAAGTTAGCAAATGCTGGATCCAACGGGCGCACTTTAACTTTTCTTTCAAGATTGGAAAGGCGCAATATGTCACTTTATCCATCCACAGTATATCTTGCATATGGCTTTATAGGTCTACCTTTCTTTAACATTGACACCTACCAGTCAGTTGTACGATATGGAAAGGCATTTTGCAATTAACTAAATCTAGATCCGTTTTTACCCAATACCGAATTAACCCAATAAGCCACGAATTTTACAATAAGCTCTTTGCTCCTCTCTCAAATCACACTATAACTCTGCCATGTTTACCAATCATAGTTCAATTGAGTAGTTGCCGCTAATAAACTAACTAATCAATCAATCAGTCAGTCAATCAATCAATCAATCAATATACATTAGAATTTAATGTAGGTAAATTATAAAGTGTACATTCAAAAGATATATTTATATGCATAGCTTATTTGTACAGATACGTGAACAATGTATGTCATTAATGAATTGTAAATTGAATATTGATCAAAATTATGATAAAGTGTATTTAGTAAAAATATGCCCTCAAAAGTAAAGGAAATTAGCGTTGAAAATTTTAAAGAGAAAACAAATGTAATTCCAAACTACATTTATAAAAAAAGTTTATTTACTCAAATACAATAATAAAATTATTTGATTAGATTTTTTCCCTTTTACTTAAATTACACAAATTACCCATCACACGGAATATACTATGTTCTTCTCATACGATAAAATGTATATTTGAAATTGGTTAATTACCTTTGTAAGTTTCTGTAAAGCATTCTGCGCATGCGTGTCTGTAGCTAAATATACGGGATCAGAAAGTAGTTGCTGTAAAAGTTTGAAGTATTTCTGAAGATCTGAATCTTCTACCTCTAGTGTAGAAGAATGTCGCACATCTCGTCCAATTGCTCTTGCCTGGTTAAGATGAAATAACAGTTCTAATTTACTTTTACCTAAAAATCTATAATCTAATTATAATTAAGATAATTGACTCTTAACTGTAAGACTGTTTTGTTATAGTAAAACATAACTAACAAAAATGGAATACAAACACAATAAAAATGTGTTTACCTAAAAATGTTATACCTAGAAGAGTGTTCTGCTGATTGCATTTTTACTACTGCCTTCTGCGTTGGAAACCGTCAAATAATACCGGGGTATTTATCATTTGAAAAAGAAAACAAGAATAAAGACCAACAAGGCGCTGAAGTCTTATGTACTTGTATTCCTCTTTATTACAGGTCACCAAACATAATTTCAAATGATAACAAATAACACAAACCACGACAATATGTCATGTAAATTTCATGAACATAAGGGGTTTGACCGAAAGATTTGATAAATGTAGGAGTGCTTGTAAACAATGATTTTTCTGAGTTCTCGTTTGTTTGGTTTTTTAATGAAAATTTAAATGAGTCATAATATATCCAAATTCAACTAAATAACAAAACCCTGACGACTTACACAAAGAATCATTGGGACAGTAAAGAAAAAGCAAAAGACCATATTCAATGGGACATACATTATCTACATATAGTTATTTAAAATAATCTGACATTAAGCAAAAAGGCTCGTGGGGACATATGTTCTGTAAATTTGCCTAATATCTTGATCAGAAAAGGAGGAGATGCCTTCCGAAGATTTTTTATGATATAGCATATTTTGGGTTAACAAATCCACTGTTCCGCCCAATAGATTGTCTTATCACGAAATCGTATCAATATTATACGCCTCTGGGAACTTGATGGTAATACTTCTATTAAAGTAACTTTTTAAATTCCTAAAACATTAAAGAAAACATGATAAATGTAAACGATGCGAGCCAAACAAAATTCTTAACGCCGCTTACCAAATTTCTGACCTTTTTCTAACTACTTGCTTTATGTTCAGAAAGCATGACAAAAACAAAGGAAAATGTATCACAAATGTCAAACCGTACTATTATATTTAATCTTAAATCATTGAAATATATAAATTTCATTTTGTTAATTATGGACCTAACGTTTGTCCTCCTGAATAGTATGTAAATATCGTTTACCTTTTCAAAAACGTTCGTTTTATTATTAAGGTTATCATGTAATTTCCCCTGGAAGTCTTTGTAATTCAGAATAATGCTGATTATCCCATTGAAGTCTGTTCTTTTTGGGGCAGATGTTTATTTTAACCCTTTCTGGGGGCATGAAGCTTTTTCGCCATTTTCCCAAAAAATCATTTCACCACTGGGAAGCTTTTGTGTTTTTGAACGAGGGGTCGTTGTACCTATCGCATTCTGTTTTCAGATTTAAAAAGTTATGACATATCTTTTAGGACCCCCGAAGAATTGTACTTGTTGCAACATTTGATGATAAGTACTTTTTTCCTTTTGCCTTTTTATCTTACATATATGTCAGTAGGGCAATTAACAAATTCCCTTAGAAAACTTGAACAAAAATCCCATTGAAAAGTCCTTTGGGGTAGCTATCATCTAAGCTTTTTTAATTGAAATTGGTGAATTTCATTACAAACAAAAGGTTCAAGTCCGTCTTTGGTAAACAAGACGGCTAACTGAGCTTTAACCCAGTTATTGTATTTTGTTTCTGTCAGTTTAGCGCTATATGAAGCCATTGCTTGCACACTTTTGTCTTTCCAATTTAAAAATTATATGCTTTAGCGGTTTTGTAAACACAAAAGCTAAACTAAAAAAACTGTTTTTTTTAAATTTTATTTCTTTTTTTTTTCAAAATTTTTTTTTTATTTTTTTTTTTTTTAATCAATTTTTGTTGAATTATACTAATATTTTGATAAATTTTTATTTTTTTTTTTATTTTTGGGTTTTTTTCTTCGTTTTTATCTTTTGCCTCTTTTTGCTGATTCAACTTTGAACAATTTTGAAAATCTGTGAATTTTCTTAGTTAGTTTTGTTTTGTATTTTAAAATTTAAATTAATATAAAGGTATTTTTTTTTTTAAACAAAAATTGAATTTTTAATTCAAACAAAAGCCAACATTTTTCGGACAACCTCGAATTAATTTACAAATACAAATTTATGATATTTATTTAGGATCTGGGATATTTTATCTCGAAACGTGAAAATTTATCTATTGTAGGATAAGCTTAGATCTAAAAAGAAATACACTTAACAATACGATTTGACGAGCCCCAATTAGACACTCATGCACTACTACACATTCTGTTTGTAACAACCATACCCACCGTAGGGAACGTGTTACAGTATCGCATTTTCCGGTTACAATATAGAATTTTCAAGTTGGAGGATTATTTATGGGAAGAGAGGTAGGTGATTTTGATTCCGGTCCATACTACAAGTAGTTAAGTTTCTAAAAGATGTTTTGTGATTCGCTTGTAAGGAACAGGATCCGGAATCTAGCCATATATTTCTTCAGACTCTGCACCGCAGATTTATCTCTATATTGTCTCATAAATGTGGACGGTTTGAAAATTTGAATCGAGAGACCAACGCATTTTTCTCCCATTCCGACATTATTTAAGCACGTCTAGATAAAGTAAGTCTACAAAACGTTAGTCTTTGGGTTTAAAAATGTTTATAAAAGTAAATGACAAGTTCAACCTATTTTGCCGTTCGTTAAATGCGTTTGAAAAAATAAAAAATGTTACAGTATAGAGCGAGGTGCATTTTATAGGGTTACAGCATAGACCTAGCGACTTTGATCCAATTTTGTTACAATTTATACCCAGATTTCGGTAACAGTTTAGATACTTGTCATATATCAAACAAAGTTCGTTTATCCATATCTTTTATGAAATAACCCATACCTTTCTATTTATTAGATTCTTGAAAGGTTGTATTACTTTTTCTCTTTAGCAGAAGTTTGCTTTTTTCCTTACTTTAAGTTTCAGATTGAGACTTTTTGCATAATAAGTAATGTCCTAAATAAGGACTGTTTTCACAACAACAACAACAACAACAACAACAACAACAACAACAGCAAGTGCTATCAAATTGTATGGAGAAAAGAAAGATTATTGTTTTATTCCATTACACATGATAATAATGATAATTGCTTTGATAATAATGCCTATTAGTTATAAAATATAGAAAAAAACAACATAATCCTTTACAGAAGTAAAACACGGAAAACATGAAAATGTTGCAGGCTCAATTTGATTGTGCCCTTATCGATAATACAATGAGTGAAACTAAATAAAATGAAATTTTGAGAGGGAATCGGAGGTTATGAAGCCTGCATATCACAGATAAGTTGTCAAAAGACACAATTAAAAAGTAGGCAATACCCTAACTTAAAGGTGATTAAACAGTATTTAAGTGAGAAATACTGCAACCTTAAATCTCATCATAGGGGGCCTCCGTGGCCGAGTGGTTAAGGTCGCTGACTTGAGATCACAGGTCCCTCACCGCTGTAGGTTCGATCCTCACTCGGGTCGAAATCTTTCATGTGAGGAAGCCATCCAGCTGGCTTACGGAAGGTCGGTGGTTCTAACCAGGTGCCCGCTCGTGCCTGAAATAATGCCCGGAGGGGCACCTGGGGTCTTCCTCCACCAATAAAGCTGGAAAAAAATCGACGAAAAAATCTCGGCGGGACGCTCTAGTATGGCCCGACTTGAGTGTACGGTCGCCCATATGGGCTTTCCGGTGGCGACCTTAAATAAACGCATTAAAAAACAAAACCTTAAATCTTATTTTTAGTTGCAATTTCCATCTACAATTATGCATTTTTTAAGTATATAAAAAGGGTTTGTTACATTTGGTTTTCTTGGATTTTAAGTTTTTAACGAAACTGAGGTCATGTGAAAACATTCGTGTAAAGAAAGACCCCTGATACCCTTTGTGAAACATTTCAGACATGAGCGGGCACCTGACTAGAACCACCGACCTTCCGTAAGCTACCTGGATAGATTCCTCACATACAAAGATTCAAAGTCATGATGGGATTTCAACTATAGCAGTAAATGAAATATGATTTGAAGTCGGCGACCTTATCCCGACTCTGCCACTATTATATACAGTAAAAACTCTGAAAACCGGACCCTATCCGGACTTGACAAAAAGTCCGGTTTTCAGGGGATTCCGGTTTTTAGAGGTTTTATACATTTATTGATAATTAATGAGAATTATGATATGTTTGAACAATGACTTTGTTCAATCATTTTGTATTTACTTTTCAACCCTTTTGTCCAAGTCATCTTTTATTTTTTTTGCAATAATTTTATAATGCAGATCCATGAATACAATTCTAAAAATCAGATTAAAACAACATATTGTCTGAAATATATCTTTTTAATTGGCTTTTGAAATATGTAATTAATGGAATTTATTATTACCAATTTTGCATAGTGTTTATAACTTTATATCCACACGTAGATAACTTGAATGTCAAAACTTTAAGCAAAACAAGAATCATTTTAAAAAAGTTACCAAATTCTTTTAGACATTTTATATTAAAAAATACAACAAATTTTAAACATTTTGAAAAATCATACCTATACAGGGAAAGACACAGTTATGATGAAAGAGCTTTAATTTAATTGCCTATAAAAATTAGCAGACACTGACAAGTGTTTTCACACCTGCATAGATAAAAAGAGGTGATCATTAATTTCCAATTGAACATGTCACCAGTTGAGATTATGTCTTAATCTACATTAAAATACACAGAAAATTGACACTTAAAATTGCTGTCCGGTTTTCAGAGGATTTTGTATGCATGTTTTGTATTAAAACTCAAGAAAATCGTCCGGTTTTCGGAATTCAGAGGTTCCGGTATTCAGAGGATTTTTTTTCAATGAACATATAAGGAGAAAATAAGGGACTTTCAAAATGGTCCGGTTTGCAGGGGATTCCGGTTTTCAGGGGGTCCGATTTTCAGAGTTTTTACTGCACATGCATCTCCAACAGGCTCACTAGAGAAGATATTGTAATTGTCTGACCTTAATTTATACTCTATAATTTTCAATATTATTTTCTTTTTTTCAGAAACATGAAAACTTCTAAACAGGATGTAAAAATTTTTATCAGGAAATTGAAGTATCTAAATATTTGCAATGATATAGCACTTTCTAAATTATAATGAAATATAACCAAATACAAACAAATGAAATATACTGTATTAGATTGAAAATTTCAATAATGATTAAACTTTCATGTACTGTAACAGTAATAAAACTGTCAACTAAAACATTCATAAAAAGTCAAATATTGGTTCAGTCAGTTAATGTATTGCATACCTTGCTTGAGATAAGCGTTTAAACATTATTATCATAGTGAAACCCTTTAACATTGCGGGGTGTAATTTAAACCGTGTCTTGCTGTGACAGATCTTTATTTCAATTTAAAAATAGACATATGATAGCGCAAATATCTGTCAATTGTACACTGGCTCTAAGTAAATACAATTCAACTACTACACTTGTATGCTTTTGGATATTCTTTTACCAAGTTATTTTCAAACATTAATTTTTCTTTTGTAAAACTCAAGGTGCTTTTCTTTGGTCTTTGTGTGTGAGGGTATTTTTTGTCACATATTAAATGATTGAAAAACGATTACAATAATACAGACAAATGGCAAGTTTCATTTTAAATAGAAAAAAACACCTGCCAATTAAGCACTGAATGTGTTCATTGAATTAATTGTCACGGTTCAGCGTTTTACTAACATTGGGTAAGTTTTTCGTAAGTAATTTCGTTACTTTACGCTTACGTTTAAACTTACGTAAATCGTAAGCGTGTTTCACGAAAAGTTCGTAGGTTTTTTCTTAAACTTACGTTCAAATAGAGTGTAACTCTTGAAAGAAGGTTTTCAGAATAAGCCCATAAGGAGGCGTTTTAGTAATATTTAATAACCGCAAACATTTTTGAAAAGGGCTAAACTGGTATTTCGTAGAGTCATCTACGGACTCTCATGAATGTTGCTGAGCAATCCGTATTTTTAAGTGGATATTGTCCCAATGGCCATCCATCACAGAGGGGTTTCTCCCAAATTTTTATACATTTATAGAGTAGAAAGGAAAACCCCATATGATCCATCATGGAAGATATTGAAAGTATTTTTGTTTGTTTTGAGAAGTGAAAAAACTGTAATGTTCGCAAGTGAAAATGTGGATTTTCTTTCATTTTTATATAAAATATTTAGCTTATTCTCATAGCCCACATTTTAAAAAAA